AATGCTACCTGATATCCAACTATGTACTGCAAGACCATAATAATCAAAACAGCATGGTCCTGACACAAACACAGACATATAGTTCCATGGAACAGAATAAAGAGCCCAGAAATAAACCTAAGCCTTTATGGTCAATTAATATTTGACAAAGGAGGAAGAACATACATGGGGTAAAGATAGTCTATTCAATAAATGGTGTTGGGAAAATTGGACAGATATGTGTATAAAACATAAAATTAGACCATCTTCTCACACCATACACAAGAATAAACACAAAATGTATTAAAGACTTAAATGTAAGACTCAAAATCTTAGAGGAAAACAGGCAGTAAAATCTCAGACATTTCTCGTAGCATATTTTTTTTCGCCTATGTCTCCTCAGGCAAGGAAAACAAAAGGAAAAATAAACAAATGAGACTACATCAAACTAAAAAGTTTTTGCAGAACAAAAAAAATATCAAAAACTGAACAGACAACCTACCGAATGAGAGAACATATTCACCAATAATGGGTCTGCTATGGGACCCAAAATTTGTATAGAGAACTTATACAAGTCTACACCAAAGAAAAACAAACAACCCAATTAAAATATGGGCAAAGGACCTAAGGAGATATCTCTCCAAAGAGGATATGCAGATAGTCAATAGACAAATGAAAAGAAGCTAAAACCACAATGATATATCACCCCCCACCTGTCAGATTGGCTATCATCAATAAATCAACGAACAACAAGTATTGGTGAGGGTGCAGAGAAAAGGAAACCCTTGTGTACTGTTGGTGGGAATGCAGATTAGTACAGCCACTGTGGAAAACAGTATGGAGTTTCCTTAAAAAATTAAGAATGGAACTGCCTTGCCCTAGCTGTTTTGGCTCAGTGGTTAGAGCATCGGCCCAAGGACTGAAAGGTCCTGGGTTTGATTCCAGCCAAGGGCACGTACCTCTGTTGCAGGCTCAATCCCTGACCCCCGGTTGGGGCATGTGCAGGAGGCAACCAATCGATGTGTCTCTCTCACAGTGATATTTCTCTCCCCCACCCCCACCCCAAAAAGCAATGGAAAAAATATCCTCAGGTGAAGATTAAAAAAAAAGAATGGAACGGCCTTATGACACAGCAATTTCACTTCTGGAAATATAGCCAAAGAAAACCGAAACACTGATTTGGAAAAATATTTACACCACTATGTTCTTTGCAGCATTATTTGCAATAGCCAAGATCTGGAAACAGCTCAAGTGCCCATCAGTAGATGAGTGGATAAAAGAGCTGTGGGACATTTACACAATGGAATACTACTCAGCCATAAAAATTAAGGAAATGTTGCCTTTTGTGACAGTATGGATGGACCTAGAGAGTATTATGCTAAGTGAAAGAAGCCAGTCATAGAAAGACAAGTACCATATCATTTCACATATATGTGAAATCTAATGAACAAAATAAACATAATAGAAATAGACCCAAAGACATAGAAAACAGAGTGACAGCTGTCAGAGGGGAGGGGTGTGGGAGGGTTTGGTGAAAAAGGTGACGAGGTTAAGCAAAAACAAAACAAAACACCCCATTCATTTAAACCAGAAGGTCCAGAAGGGGAATCGGGGCATGTAGTCATTTAAAATCAAGTGACAATATGCAGGTGAGGCTGGGAAGCAATTGGTTAGATGATCAATGGGCAAAAACTTGGTGAGTTGTATGCTAGAGACAGATGGAAGTGTTGATGTGTAAGGCACCCTTCATTCATGAATTCTGAGAGATGTTTGCTGGAATGATATTATTGGTTAATTTCTTCAAGATACTCTCCACATGTTTAAAGGTTGTTTGCATGCAGGTAACTTAGTTACCAGCCAGGAGCCAGACTGTAAGGCATTCCATAACAATGTCCTTGAAAGAGCACCCACCACAAATACACATGTATTTGTTTAAAAATATGTAAAAAAAATAGTAGCAAGGGGAGGAAAGGGAGGTGTGGGTTTTGGATGCTTTATACTTTCATACCCTGGTGCTAGGGAAAGACGCCTCAGTTCTAAACACTCCCTGATTCTCTTGAAATGCTCCATTTAATATTCAAACCTACTCTTGCCTCCTTCCTGTTTACGGTGATGATGATGATAAGCAGTGGGCTTTCTTTTTTATAATATCTGTTTCTACTGAAACAGAGAGGCAGCACCATAGGTTGATTTTAGAGGCTTTCATAATTACCAGGACTTGGAAGAAATTCTCCATGGAACAAGGAAGCCAGTGTGAGATATTCGTATTTGCGGGAGAACTAAGTGACTCTATAATTTTCCCATTATGAGAGCTTACTAAGAAAAAAACTAAGTTTTGAAAATTAACATAAAACAGTAAAAAAAAAAAAAGGAAAAGGGAAGGGATTCCTTTTAAAATGATCACCTAAGTGTTGTGAGAAAATATCCTAGAGTCTTACAATCTCAAAACTAATATTCAAACTCTCAATCTGTTTGATTAAAAAAGTTTATTGAGCTGTAAAATAAATACACTTCCATTAAATATTAAATAAATTATTTACAACTTGAAAAAATACCTTTTCTCTCATGCATCTTTATGTACAGAAATAAGACAGCATAAAAAGTGACAATTGAAAGTTAAAACCCTCAGAACAAGAAAGTTCTGTTTTCTTATGATCCGCTGAAAAGAGGAGCCCACTCATCACTCCTGGTTGTGACTTGGCAGTGACTCCGGTCCCTGTTCAAAAATAAAATAGAGTGTTAGAAAGAAGCTCATTTCCAACGAGCTTTAAGAAAGTGTCAAAGAACCCGGGTTTCTGTCAGTGTTTCTCTAGGATGTGTTATGAACACCTCTAGGAGCATTTCAGAGCCGAGCTGTCACTCAGGCTCGAACCCTTGCCTCACACGTCGCTGGGTTACACGCCGGCTTCGGGAGAAGACTGCATATGCGTAAACCTGTTTCCTCAAATTCGGCTTAATAAAGAGCAACAACAGTCGTGATAAGTGGTTGCCCTAACCAAATCTACGCAGTGGACATAATTAAAAACAAAGATTAAGTAGCTCGGCGTATTTATGTTATGCAGCCAATTTAAGATAATTAGCACTGAGAGCATAATAATAGTAGCTACCGGTTAATAGGCAGCCACTAAGCGCCAGCACAGCATATTCCTTTTCCTAAAATCACCTGGGACTCACTTAGGGGAGGTAAGAGAGGGCAAGGGGGGAAATGGTGATAAAAGGAGATGTGACTTGGGGTGGTGAACACACAATACGATACGCAAATGATGTATTACAGAATTGTACAACTGACACCTATATAATTTTATTAAACAATGTCACCCCCATAAATTCAATAAAAATTAAAAATAAAAAAAATTGTAAAAACCTCAATTATACTAAATAACCAAAAATTCACCCTTATCCATGTTGGTGATCTTAGTGTCAGCCCATTAAGCCCACACATTAATAAGTTTTCATGCAATAAGGACCAGCATCGGCATGGGAGACTTCCCATCTCACGAGTTATTGAGCTAGTTCTGTCACAGGCTCACAACGTAATACCTGCACTTAACCAATGCCAGACGCAGTGGTTCCCATGCAAGCATCTAGAGTGTTCATTTAAAATGGAAATACTGATTTAGTAGTGTGGGATTTGGCTTAGGAATATGCATACTTAATAAGCATCTCAAGTAATTGTTAAATCCACTGAAGGAAGAAAATCAGTGGCTTAAGGATGGGACATCTTTCCCGAATGTCTGAGGAAACAGAGTTCCTTCTTCGGGCCGTGTGTCCTTGGGCTCCTTGCCTCCCTCTTCCTCTACAAGTTCGCTTCATTAGCTGTTCACTTTGTTAGCAACCAGGTACCCTTCTCCACGCCTTCTTCCTACCAACACGCTCACGTCACCCGCTTTACAAAAAAATTAAAAATAGAAACTATAGTACATACTCCAGCCAAGCTCGGTCAGACGTGCAGCCCATTCTTCCTTCCTACCCTTTCTTTAGAGATGTTCAAGCCGCTGTGCCCTCACATCTGTAACGTAGGAACCCCGGCTCCGGCGGTCCCTCCTGTGAGCTCAGCCTATCATTTCAACTCAGTCTCCCCAACATCCATTTAACTAAGCTATCTGTCAGCAGTGTCTAAAATGCTGCAGTGCCCCTTACGCCTTACTCTTCCTTTCCGTTTGTAACCGCTCGTCCCAGTCCCACCCGCCCTTTAAGGCTCGCTCGACGGCACCCTGCAAGCTACCCTGGCCTCCCTCCAAGGGCCGCCTGCTATATCCCTGCTACCCTTCCCCGGAAACTCCTCCTGTTCCACTGGTTCCTTTCCTTTTCAAAAATTAATTTATTGGGCTGACATTCATTAAAATTATATAGGTTTCAAGTGCACAGTTCAACGATACGTGATCTGCATACTGCACTGTGTGCCCGCCACCCGAAGCCAAGGCTCCTGTCGCCATATAACCGGTGCCCTCTGCCCTTCACTGCTCCTCCGCCTCCCTGCCTCGGGTAACCACCATACTATTCTCTGTGCCTATGAGTGTTTGCTTTGCTCATTTGTTGCTTTCAGTTTTATATCCCACATATAAGTGAAATCATACGGTTCTTGACTTTTTCCGTCTGACTTAGTTCCTTCAGCTGATATTCTCAGGACCCGACGGGGATGTGGTGCATGCATACCGTGGACTACTACTCAGTCCTAAGAAAAGGCGTAATACTGTCCTTTGTGACGACCATTGGTTCTTTTCTCATGACACATATCTTACTTCACCTTGTATTCTGGTTCCCTGCCCAATTTTCTGTCTCCTAAATACTAAGCTCTTTGAGAAGAAGATCTGCATCTCCCTCATTTTTATAAGACTAAGGACAGTCCTCAGCATTGAGCTCCACTTCGTGCTCAAAGAGTAACGCTTTAACGTAGCAGGTGTTCATCATTAAGAACACTCACTTTCCTCATGTTTCTTAATAGATGCTGTATTTTTCAAAATTATAGTATGTGGTCTAAAGATATTCTTTAAAACACAAACCTGTAATATTGTCTTCATTTATGCTACGGCATGTGCATTTCCATTTTCTTGTCGAAGTTTCGTTTGTTCTTCAGCTTCTCCTTCATATTCCCTGAAGTATCGTTTTCGAAGCCTTCAGAGAACAAAATATTCTACTGTCATCAAAGTTTTATTTATCCATTTATTAACTGCGGTTTTCGTGAGTACAGGGAATTCCTTTCTGTGAGTCCTTATAGACCGTTCCACATTATGCTCTACACCAAAGCAAAATCTAAACCCAACTATAAAACGCTACCAGTGTTCTTTTCAATGCGATGTTTATGATGACTTTATGTAAACATATTTCCAGAGTATTGATATTTAAATAAGTATGCCTTGAGATGCAAATTTTCAGAAAGCATGGAACACATCAAAATGTTTTTATTTTTCAAAACTTAGCACAGCTGCCATGCACAAATGGAGAAAGAAGATAGTGTAGTTTTACCAGAGAAAGACTTTATGCTTGAACAAACTAATCTAAATGATTAGGATTTTTTTAAACAGGCTTACAAGTTGGGTTTTATTTATTTCTATATATAATAAATACATCCTTCTATTTATTGCTACTTTGTATTTAAAAACAGAATGGTTTAAAAATATCTTGGCATTGTAGAAACATTTCTATTTTTAGTAGATCTTTAACTTATCCACTAAATATTATTATTAAAATCATAAGATATTTTGTTGTTGTGTTTGGGGGGAAAGTCACTGCAATTATGAGAAAACAGGAATTGTAGCTCAGACTAGTGTTTAGTGTTTCAGATACAAGATGATTATGGAGAAAAGTCACCGCTTAGCTTTAAGAGTGCCAACATAAAGTTTTTTCCTGTTTTCCAAAGGATTATTAAACATTTCAACTTGAATAACTACAGGCTTGCATAATTACTTCAAAACATCTTCAACTGGCAACTTTTTCTTCTATCCTCATGTCAGATACTAATGGTATGTCTGAGGGCATCTTTCCTGAACACATCTGCTATCTCGCTTGAGGTACGCACAGATCAAAATCACTCCCAGGGTGTGCAAAACAAATTTAAACCACAGATCAAACTTTATGGGCATCATAAAACAGTTTTTATGTGCCACTTTTTCATTATCTGATCCGCATTTAAAATAACAGTAAACAATGGCAGAAGATAACCCCTAGTTTTCTGAATGGCGAGAGTGGTGGATCATGTACACAATCCAGTTGTTAAAGTAATTTACCAAGACCTAAAATTAGAATAATGAGCCTATTGCTTTCCCAAGCTCTGGGAGCACATGAGTCACTATAGAGCCATTCACACCCTCCCCCAGCTTCCTCCACTGACTGACTTCTGTTGGACAGACAATGCCATTTTGATATACCCGCCAGGGTGTCCGAGCTGCAACAGTCTAGTTCTACCCTTCACTGGTCATGACGTGAAGTATGGGATCTGCTACCGTGAGCACAAGGAAGATACTGCGGGAGTGAAACAGTAAGAGAACTGTCCCCGCTTCCTACGCCACACCATGAAACCAGAGGGGGGAGACGCTGTGTTTTCATAACTGAGTTCCCATATTCATTTGACAATAACAGAATAGGCATAAGGTCCAAGTAGGTTAGGACCATGCTGTGAAATCCCTAATTCAGGATTTTGCACTCTAATAAAAGCAAAAGACATCTTTTCTGGGCTCCTGTTTCGAAGCTCTTTGTGATATTTAGTATCAAAGCGGTATCTCTGTCAACCGCGCTGTGAGTCTTCATGGACTTTTCCCCACACCGTTCACCAAAGTAATCCTGATGACATCTGTAAACAAGCCACATTCCAACCTACTGTGAGCCAGGCCTTAATTAGATTCTGGGAGGCTTGCTTAAGCTTAAGATACTCTAAGTAGATTCCAACACTCTTGAGATCTGAAAGTAGCCATGAGTAGAAATAGGACATGAAATAAAACCCATCAATTTTTAAGTTCAAAAAACTTTCTAGATTTTGTGGAAAAGGCCTTTACATATTAAGTTTCTATGGTGGTCAACGTAATATAAATTTGGACTATATTCTGTGATCTTTGTCAATGAAGTGTAAAGATATGACCAAAGATCAGGTGCCACCAGAAGAATAATTTATTTAAAATCTGATAGTACATTGTGATTAAAAAAATACATATTGAAATTAACCTGGCATTATTTTGTGAGAAGTTTTTAAATTATGCTATACTTACTGGATTGCAATAACAGCAGCAACAACTGCGAAGCTCACGGCCGAGACAAAGGCAGTTATGACTACTAACATAATTTTTGATAAATCACCATCAACCGCGCTGTGAGTCTTCATGGATTTTCCCCCGCACCGTTCACCAGAGTAATCCTGATGACAACTATAAACAAACCACATTCCAAAATTATAATAACTAGAAACATTCCACATATCTTAGGCTTACTTTCCAGGTCATAGCCGTTCAATTCTAATACTAAAAAAATAAGTCAGGCCTTATATTTGTGTTTCGAAATCATGAGGCATAGAATGCATTCGAGCCAAAGATCTGTGCATACAAGAACACGCTGAGGTTAGTCTGGCTGTTATTCTAGGAAGGCGCACCTCTTCTTCCTTTGTGCTCCTTCTATGGCCAGCTGATGAGTTCAGCGACTTGTTATGCAGCTAATACATTCCACTATCATTTCATGCACTAGTAATTTTTAGGGGAAGGACAATAGAACAACATTATGTGAAAAGTATCATGAGGTCCTCATTTAAAAAGAGGTTTTGTCAAATCCATGTTGTAAAATGATTTGTACCAGGGGTCCGTCAACTACAGCCCATGAGTCAAATTTAGCTGCTTTCTAGGTTTTCTAGAGTAGGCAAGCCAAAAATGGTTTTTACATTTTTAAGTGGTTACTTTTAAATTTGTTCTATAAGTACATATGTAATCTTGACCCAGGAAGCCTAAAAGATTTACTATCTGGTCCTTAGAGGTTTGCAGACCCTTGGTTTATACATTGGAAAAATAAATGGTTTTCTGCAGCGAGGAGTTCCAGACGTTGTTAGAAATACAGAATTCTACACAGTTTAGGAAAACTTACTTGCACGTTACTCTTTTCAGGTTCTCTATATATCTGCATTCTCCATGAATGCAGAAATTTTGAAATTTTGTATCGCACGGATTTTTCTTTCTGTTTTTTCTATTTTTTTTATTTTTGTGTCCTTTCTTCTTTCTTTTGGGTTTATCTGTAGTATTTTCACTTTCTGTTTTATTTTCCTTGGGCTTAACTACCTGTTCAACTAAAAAAAAAAAGTTTTATTGATAAGAGTCTCTCTTCATCCTGAATATCATCATTTTGGAGACATAAGAGAAAGAAGTCCTAGCAGTGAGAGCCCATGGGAATAGCAACCACCTCTGTCTCATTATTTAACACAATTCATACACAATAATAGGGTAAAGAGAATATAGGTATTGTGGGGCACTTATAAATCTCAACTCCTTTGTTATTTTATTAGCTTAGAAACATATTTTGAATTTACTTGTATCAGTATTATTATTATTGATAATATGAGTTACCTGTCTAAGAAAATCCATGAAATATTTTAAACAGTTCTCAAATTCTAATGCATTCCAAGTTCTTGGTAATGAACGTTAATTAAATTAACCCAAATCACAGGTGAATGTATCACTACCCAGGTGATATAGATGAAGACTCTGAAGTTGAGTGAAGGCAAGAAACTTGCCCTGGGACAACGCAGCTAGAAAAAGGCAGAGCTGGGACGTTAAAGCCTGTCATCTCCTTACTCCACAATGATTTCTCTTGGAAATCAAATGCCATTGATTAAAGAGGGGCATGGGTATATTTGTGGATTTTATTTACTCATATCAGTCTTGTGCTCATTACAATAATTAGGAATTAGTGTGCATTATGTGAGGGTGGGGAAAAACTGAAATTTATAGAGTAAAACAATTTTCTGCAACTCCCAGAATACAGTAGGCTATAATTAATCAATACATTCCACAGGGTTTGTTTCTGTGGTCAATCAGTTTGGAAAAATAGGAGTCCAGATGTATTTGTACTTGATGCTTCAGAAATTCATCTTAACTCTTTAGATCCACAGAAGTGTTTGTTCAGCGTTATAGTTATGCAGGGTATAGTTTACCCACAAGCCTAATATAGGAAGAAGGAGTTTCCATGTTAGAGCCCTGCATTTTGTTATACTAATCCCTGAATAGGTTTATCTGAGAAAGTATTTAGCAAACAGAGTTCAATGAAAAGAGGCAAATATCATGATGTTAATAATCCCATTACTCATAATGGGCCTGCAGTATCCACCAAATAGAAAACTTCAGAAACAAGAGAGAACCCTGAGATTAAGGAAAAAACAAATAAATATTATACATATTTTAGCAGGTAACTATAACAACATTAACAATAGTCAAATTAAGAGCAATGTGCAATAGGTAGTTGTGCAATTTTTATACTGAAACTTTCTTCTGATGATAAAAAGTACAATTAGAATAAATCCTCTAATAAGTACATTTTAAATGGATATTGCTGCATTTTATCAGACATATTACAAGTTTTAGACAGAGGCAAACAGTCACTATTCTGAAATGCTATAGTAGACATTAACCCCTTGGGTTTAATGGCCTTTAAAGGAGTTCAGCCAACAGTTTCAGCTTCACACAATGCATTGCAATTTTAACCACTCGTCATTTTCACCACTAACAATTTATTTGGCCTTCTGAAATGTTAACATCTTTAAGAGAACAGTTTTTAGAATCTTAATGGTCTAATATCATTCCTCCAAAAATAAGAATTATAAATGGATCCCTTCCCACCACACATAAAAGTACAAGTACCAAAGAAAGGGAGTAAAGTAGAGTGTTCACTAAAGCTGTTCCCACCTGTCCCTTAAGCAGGTCACTTTCCCTGTGGTATCACCTGCCCTCTCTCACCTGTTCTGGGAGCCCGAAAGAGGGGAAGAAGTCAGGGAAATTAAGGTCAGGAGAGAAGGGGTCTTGCCTCCTGCCTTCACAGTGGATGATACTAAGATGCTTAGATCTGACTGACTGATGACCTCATCTGCCCTCAAACTCCAAAGTAATAGGAGGGTAATAAACAATACTTTGCTCCTACTTTGGTACTTCCATTTTAAGCCAATGTTCTTTTTTAAAGATCAGATAACAGCAAAAAAGAAAACCATGAGTCACAATTATTGAGCTGATGAATGGGACATGGAGTTAAACTGTGATTTTTAACAATATAAGCTCCAGATATATCTGTTCTTTAATATTTCCAGAAGATGTTATTATTATTACCAGTTTCTCAATACCTAGTACTTAAGGCTAAAGCGCAGTTGCTCCTTTCCCATTCCTTCCTCTGTTCCCTTGTGTTCACTGCCGTTATTTAGAAGGGTGGTGGGAGTGGGCACAGCAGCTCAGATACAGAGCAGGCACAACTGGCGTGTGTCTGTACCTGTCTCTCAGAACGGGGGTCATGAGGCCCAGCGGGAAAGGCCATACGATCTGGAATCAGACAGATTGGAGTTCTCATTCTGGCTCATCTGCTTGCGGGCTGGGGAACCCTAGGCTTCTAGAACACTGAACCTTTTCAGGCTTCAACGATGACCTGTAAAGTGGTATTTCCCACTCAGAGTTGTGAAGATTAGACTTTCATACATTCATTAGAGACCCTGGCATATAGGACGTGCCCATCTCCGTGTGTAGCTTACCCAGCAGGCTATCAACAGACAGACCAGGAGCCACTGGAAACCCAGGGGCGGCTTTCCTGCTGAATTAGCGTGGCTCACACACACCCTGACCCCGCAGGCGACACCTTCCCCTTGTTCTCCGCTCACCTCTGACCGAATCATCCACGAGATAGCCAGATATTTGCGTTTCAATCTCATAGTCTTCCGCATAGTCATAGTCGACCTCCGAGGACAGCTCGCTATCAGAGGGCATCTCACTCACAAGGGACGTCTCGCTTCCTAAGGACATCTCACTTCTTGAGGTGACCTCAAATTCATCAGCACCGTGGTCCCCAGAAAAGGGTTCCCCTTTCCCAGAGAAGGTGTCATTGCCAGCGGATCCAGCAGCATAATGGGCTATGGGAGAGAGAACAAGGGAGCAAAGGTAAAGCCCAGGGCCTTTCTCACCGGCCAGCCACGCTCAGGAGAAACGTTTATCTTCTGATATCAAAGCAGTTATTGCACATGTGCCATTGGGGCTGAGTCACCCAGGAAAGCAACTCCACGCTTTGCCAACAAGCAAGCTCAGCTGCTCCAATTACCAGGCTTCTTTCATCAAGGTTTTCTTTTCCACGGATGGTCGACCTTAATTTCCACATCAAAAACAATACTGCCAAATAGGCAAATTAATCTAATATACATAATTACTGCTCAGGTATTGTCTAAATATCCCCGTGTCTCCACATACCAAATGCCTTGGAGTTGCCAGAAGGCCACCTGCCCCATTATGTCTGGAACCACAGGCAGGTTCTAGATAGAAATACCAGACTTCCTTAACAGCTGCTCACGTTTTAAAAGACTATGTCCATCAAATGTCAAAAGTAATATAAAAGGTAGTTGAAAATGATTTTTGTCATTGTTTCATTATTATTGTTCCCCGCACCCATCCCCCCGCCCAGGCCTTCGCAGCACTATTGCCTGTGTCCGTGGGTTATGCTTCACTATTGCTCTTAATTGAGGAAAAAGCCCGGGAAGCAGGGAAGGCGTCCCCACCGTGTTCCTTAGACCCGAC